ATAATTTTATATATATATATGTATTTCGAAAATACATATGTATTTTAAAATTATATTTTGTTTGTGTCATTTTAATTATATGATAATTATATTTTGACAAAACAAATTTTTATTATATATATATATGTAGCGCCGAATGTGTATATATATATATTATTTTATTTTTCATCATTTTAATTATATGATAATTATTGATGTCAAAAATAAAATATGATATACTAAGATTTCAAGAGGAAAATCCAAGACCATTTTGATTTTATACATAAAGTATTTTTTAATGTCAAATTGATATATTTGATTATTATTTTATGTAGGGATTCTATTTTGTTTGGTAGCTAAGATATTAAACATTTACACATGGTGTTAAGACATATACATGGACTTATGCTTAACATTAATTTCCTAGCAATTTCCTAAATATACATTATTATAAAATGAGGTCTTGATTTTGAAAAAAAAGACTACAATTTTCGGCCATCCCATTTTAGAGAGAAGAAAATTTTATTTTGTGTTCAAAGTTATTTTCTAATGTGTTAGAAATATACACAAAATATTATAAAGAAATATTTATAAGATAAATATTTTTACTATATATTTATTACTCCCAAAGTAGTATTATTATAGTTTTTACTATCCTAAATTAAACTTGCTAGCACAAGTTTAATCTAGGACTCCGGAGCAAGTTCGTGTGGATACGTTGGAGGCTTCATACGTTTGGCGCTACGTTCAACTCCTCAAAACCATCCCCGACCGTTCCTCCGTTCTCTGTTTTCACCATTAAGGTAAATTTCTTACTATAGCTAGTAATTTACGTAAGTTGTTCTTGGGTGGAATCGAGTTTTGGACTGTAAATTTTTGTTTTCCGCTGCGTTATCCAAGCCTCGTTTCCCAACATGGTTGATCCCCTCTTCTTCCAACCCTAAGGAGAAGGCTAAAGACCCTTGCCCTAACACTGGTCCTTTGGTTGGCAAGGGAATTGATTTCCAAAAGAAAAAGAGTAGGGATGATGGCAGTATGGGTGGGAAAAGACAAGAGAATAGAAAGGGTGGCAAGGGGCATGCCCCTCCTCCTCCATGAAGCTCTTTTGTTGGAATATTAGAGGACTCTCTAGGTCCTCTAAACAAAAGGTTTTGTGTAAATATCTTCTTGAACTTGGTGTCCATTTTGTGTGCCTACTGGAGACCAAGATCACGGCTAGTAAGTTTGATATTTTTGTGAATACTAGACTGCCTGGGTGGAGTTATGCAACCAATTTTGATCTTATACCTGGCAGTCGTATGGTGATCCTGTGGAATCCCTCCCTTTTTACTTGTAATGTCCTGGATTTGGGTGAACAATACATTCACTGCGCTGTCCAATGCCTCACAACACAACAGGATATGTTCTTTTCCTTTGTCTATGGGCTATATACTGTTACCAAAAGGAGGGAGCTGTGGAACTACATGTCTTCTCTAGCGTAGAATATAACCAAAACTTGGGTCTTACTTGGTGATTTCAACTGTGTTTTGGACTCTAATGAGAGGGTGAATTGTATGAGTCAAGGAGTCTATTATATGACTGACCTGCAGTCCTTCAAATGCTTGAACTGTCTTGAGGATACACCATCCAGTGGCAATTTTTTCACCTGGCACAAAGGGAACAAACTTGCTAAACTTGATAGAGTTCTCATTAACCATTCCTGGGCTAATATTGGTTTAACCCCCAGCTGCGAGTTCATGGACTTTAATTTCCTATCTGACCATTGTCCCATCTTGTTTCAATATGGTTATTCACTTGGCAACAAAGGCAAGCCCTTTAGATTCTTCAACATGTGACTTCAGCATGAGGACTTTCCTGGGTTGGTGTGCCAATCTTGGGAGGCTGGAGTTACTGGTTCTAAACAGTACTCCTTGTGCTCCATGCTCAAACGTCTCAAACTTCCTCTAAAGTTTCTCAACAGACATGCTTTTGGCCACATTTCTGAAGGACGTGGTTCTGGACCCTAATAACCAAACCCTCCTTGATGAAGCTGAAGCTAAAAGGAAACGTGCTAACTTCCTCATGGATCCTGAACTGGCTTTCTATCAACAAAAAGCTAAATGTGACTTCATTATGAACTCTGAAAGATGTACTAGCTATTTCCACTCTATTTTCAAGAAAAATAGGAAGAAAAATGCTGTGGGCTTCTTGGTTAGAGAAGATGGATCCAAAACCACTTCCATCGGTGAGGTGGCCAACATCTTTGTGGATTATTATACCACACTGTTTGGTACCAGTTCTCGTGTTGAACCTGTTGATCCAGATATTTTGGCTGCTGGCAGTTCTGTTCCCATCTCTGCCCACTCAGCTCTCCTAGCTACTGTTACCCCTGAGGAAGTCAGGCAGGTTGTTTTTGACATTGGCAATGATAAGGCCCCAGGCCCTGATGGTTACACTGCTGCATTTTTCAAGAAACAATGGGCAGTTGTGGGTAGGGATGTTTATGATGCTGTCTTGGAATTCTTTAGCTCGGGCAAGCTCTTGAAACAGATTAACCATGCTTTGATTGTCCTTATCCCTAAAGCTGCCAACAACCCTACTGTCAAAGACTTTATGCCTATAGCTTGCCTTAATGTGCTTTATAAAATCATCACCAAGATCCTTGCTAAACGTATGGCTTGCCTCCTCCATGATCTGATTGACCCAGCCCAAGGGGCCTTTGTTCCGGGTAGATCTCTTGTGGATAACTTCCTTCTTGCTCAACACCTTATTAGAGATTATGCCGTCAAGAGATCCACACTTAGCTGCTTAATCAAATTGGACATAACAAAGGTTTATGATACTGTTTCCTAGAGTTTTTTGAAGGATATTATGGCTGGCCTGGGCTTCCCTTCCAGATTCATATCTCTAGTCATGGAGTGTGTTTCCTCCGCCTCTTCTTCTATTATGGTCAATGGTGACACCCATGGTTTCTTCCCCAGCAAACGAGGCTTGAGACAAGGAGACCCCATGGCCCCCACACTTTTCCTTTTCTGTATTGAGTACTTCTCCAGACTACTCAATAAAAAGGCTAAATAGGGGCTGTTTAACTTCCACAAAGACTGTGCTAGCTTGGGCATCACGCACCTGGCCTTTGCTGATGATCTCATGCTGTTTTCTAGAGGTGATCTCCAGTCTGTCCAAGTTTTTATGGATGCTTTGGACCATTTCTCTAGATTATCTCGGCTGATCCTTAACCCCACTAAATCCAACATCTTCCTCGCTGGAAAATACAGGGACAATAGCCATGATCTTTTGGCCCTTGCCTCCTTCCCTCGAGGTTAGCTTCCTGTTAGGTACTTGGGCCTCCCTTTGGCTTCTCAAAGGATCTCTGAGAATGACTTTGCGCCTCTCTTCAAAACTGTGGAAGGTTATCTTTCCAAATGGAGCACCTTAAAACTCTCTTATGCCGGAAGAATAGAACTGGTCAGGGCTGCCATACAGGGGGTACAGTCCTTCTGGCTTCAAGCTTTCCCGGTTCAAAAGTATGTGCTTGATCGCATCACCTCCCTCTGTAGAAACTTTCTCTAGGGCAGTAAGCTTGCAAAGGTGGCATGGGCAGATATTTGCAAGCCAAAGACTGAGGGGGGTTTGGGCCTGAAAGATGCTACAACTTTGAATAATGCACTCCTATGCAAACTCCTTTGGAATTTAGCAGCGGAGAAGGAATCCTTGTGGGTTAAATGGGTTCATAATATCTACATTCGGGATGAGGACATCTGGAATTGGCAACCCAAAAAGAGGCATTCTGTCTTCCTCAAAAGGTTAGCCTACGTACGTGACCTTTTGGCCCAGAAGCTTGCTGTTTGCAACCCAAATCTGGCAGTGGCTATGCAGCCCTTTTGTTCGGCAGGTAACCTTATTTCCGGGAAGGTTTATGAGTTGTTTAGGGCAAAGGCCAACCACAAGCCTTGGATGGCTTTTATCTGGCAAAGCTTTATTCCTCCTAAGTGCTCATTTACGATGTGGCTGGCACTTAGGAGGAGGCTGCCCACTAAAACTAACCTGGACTTCCTCGGACTGCCCATTGAATGCACGTTTTGTGGCAACGAGTTGGAAGATGTGGACCACCTTATCTTTAGTTGTGAGGTTTTTAAAGACGTTTGGAGGGCTGTCAAGACTTGGCTACGGATGGAAGGGCAGTTGAGCACCCTGAATAGAGCAATCAGATCCTTAAAAGCTTTTAGAAGAGGGGATGTGATCCTCAAGAAGGCTAGAAGGATTGCTCTTGCTTGTACGGTCTTTCATCTATGGAAGCTTTGTAATGCAGTTCACTTTGACCAAGAGCCTCTACGGGTTGATGCTGTGGTCTTCAAAATTAAGGTTATGGTCTATTCCATTTTGGGAAGAATGTGGCCCCTTTATGTTTTCCCCTATTGATGTACGATGTGCTTGTATGATGGCGTGTGTGCCTTGTTTGTTTTTGTAATTTGTTTGATGTAAGGCTTGGTTTTTGTTAGTTCTGTTGGGATTGGATCTTGTCTTTAAGCTCGAGTATGCCCGTTCTATTTGTATATTCTTATCCTTTCTTATTCTATTTACATTTTACCGTTGAAAGAGCTCTCAATAATCGAATGGCGGACAGAGTTTCTCTCTCTGGCGATCGCGATGAACAGTAATCTAGCACCAGTTCCGTCCTTTTTCCGGTGTGCTCTCTTGGTTTTCTTCACCTCTGGTTGCAGATTGGTCTTCTACACTCCAAGGCGAGCCTTTCCATCCTGAATTCCAGCTGCGTTGTTCAAGATTTGGGAGTCAACGAACTACCTACGGTTCGCGACACTGTTCATCATATTCTACAACAAGCTTCCCAATGGTTTTCTGGTAAATGTGGCTGGTCCTTTCTTTGTTTTGAGCTGTTCTTAGATGGCGAAGAGCAAGAAGAAGGAGCGAAGACCCCCACCTCCCACTCCTCCAAACAAGAAAGAGTTGCGTACCTTTCTTCGTGATTTGGAGGGTGAGTCTAGGGCTGGAGGTGACAATGTGGATTGTGCTGAGAATGTGGATAACTTTCCGGTCATGACTGAGGAGGATTTTCTTCCTTGCACTAAACCTGGTGAGGTCACGGTTGAAGATGATGATGGCTCTGACTCCCAGACTCCTTCTCTGGAAGAGGAAAGGATTGAGCAAGAACTGCAGAAGGATAGGCCTGGAAATGGTGATACTCCAGTACCTAATGCTGAACCTACTGAACCTATTGAGAAAGAGGACAGTGGAAAGGAAATTGGAAACAATGATGGCAATGTACCTGGTAATAAAGTGGACACACTAGTAGAGAAGAAGAGCTTTGCATCACTCTTTGAGAAGAACATGTCTGAGGATAAAGGAATGAAACTCCACCAGGTGGAAATGACTGAGGAGGAGGAGGTGTTTATCCAACCTGAGGACATAACCCCAATGGAGGAGTTATGGGGACCTTGCGTAGTTGGATGCTTCACTGGAAGATTCCCTGGGCTGGCACCTATTCAAACCTTAGTGGAGTTCTGGAAGGTACCTAGCCAATTCCTTCCTCATCATAAAGGTTGGGTTGTCTTCAAGTTCCTGAACAATGAAGATAGAGACTCAGTCTTGCATAGAGATGACCATAGAATCAACAACAAGAAGCTACTACTCAACATCCCACAGGATGGATTCATGTGGAATGCAAAATCTTTCTCTACCATGCCATTTTGGGTGAAACTCATGGATGTCCCTATGCAGTTTTGGGGATCTAACAGCTTGTCAAAGATTGCTTCAAAACTTGGAAGCCCACTCTTCACAGATGGTCTGACTAACAAGGTTGCATCCAAACTTACTGTGGAGAAGGACCCAGAGGACAAACTGGCCTACAAGAAACCCAATTTCTGTAGAGTCCTCATTCATATGGACCTCTCCAAACCTCCCCCTTCCTGTGTGAAGGTCAATTATATGTTGGAGGCAGCTATTCACAATTTGTGGAGTATGAGGATCTCCCCCTCTACTGCTATCACTGTGAGAAATTTGGGCATACTCCTTTTTACTGTGCTCAGCTACATGAAATGGAAAGGAAGAAGGAGCAGGAGGATCAGAGGGATAAGGAGAAGGCCAGAGTGGAAATCCTGAAAACCACTTTAGAAACAGAAACAAAAGACAAACAGGATGGCAAACAGGGGCAGGATAAAAATTATGGAAAACAAAAAGAGGGGTTGGAGCATACTATTGCTTAGAAAGCCCCTGCTAATCCTGATGAACCCTCACCTTCATTCACTAGGAAGGATGATAATGATGGATTCACATTGGTGGGAAAAGGAAAAGGAACCCTTACTACACATCCTTTGAAGCCTCAATACAGGAGAGAAACTAGAAGCATGGGGCGTGGGCAGACACATGGATATAGGAATGGTGCTAACAGAGGAAGGGGAAGGGGTCCAGGCCCTAACTCTTAATGAAGGTACTCTGTTGGAACTTTAGAGGCCTTAATAGGGCCTGTAAACAATCTTTTTTGTGTAAATACATTATGGATCTTGGGGTGAACTTATGCTGCATTTTGGAAACTAAGATGACCCAAGCAAAACTTCAACTGTTTGTCAACAATAAACTCCCTTCTTGGGCCTCAACTGATAATTTTGATATGATTGATGATGGAAGGATGGCTATATTATGGAACCCCAATTTTGTTAAGTGCCAAGTTTTGGAAGTTGCTGATCAGTATATCCATTGTGGGATTTTTTGTAATATTACCCAGAAAACCTTTCACATTACATTTGTTTTTGCCTTATACAATGTGAGTGTGAGAAGGAACCTCTCGGACAAACTTTCTGATATTGCTGGCAGAATCAACACACCCTCGGCTATTATGGGGGATTTCAATGCTGTTTTGGATTCTAGTGAGAGGATTAACTGTCATACCTATGCTTATGATATGACTGACCTCTTACAGTTTAGAATCAATAATGATCTTCTTGATGCTAAGGCTACTGGTATGCAATTCACTTGGAACAGAGGGAGCAAGTGGGCTAAGCTTGACAGGTTCTTGGTTAACTGTGAATGGGACCTCCTTCATTGGGATTGCTGGGCTGACATTAAACCCATGGAATTCTAATCTGATCACTGCCCTATTGTTTTGAACCACATTCATAACACTAACCTGGGACCAAAACCCTTCAAGTTTTTTAATATGTGGATGCAACATGAACTTTTTGACAGTGTGGCTAGACAGGTTTGGGATACCAGGCCCCTGGTACTAGACAACTCAGATTATGCAGAAAACTCAAATTGTTGAAACACCCTTTGAAACAACTCAATAAAAAGGAGTTTGGCCACATTTCTACCAGAGCTGAGAATGCAAGAAGCACCTACTCTGAATTGATGACCAGGCTTATGACTGATCCACATAACTCTGCCCTAATTGAGCAAGCTGCCAGCCTTAGGAAAAAGGCAACCTTTTACAGTGATGCTGAGAGATCCTTTTTCTTACAGAAGGTGAAATGCACTTTTATCAATGAGGGTGACAAATGCACTAAGTTCTTCCATGCTACGATGAAGAAACAGAAAGTGCTGAGTTCCATCCCCTTCATTATCACAAGCCAAGGTTCTACCACAACCTCTTCTGAAACCATTGTTGAGGACTTTATTGACCACTATAGCAACATTTTTGGTAACACTGTGCCCACAACCTCCATTGACTAAAATGTGTTTAGGGAGGGCCCCCTTGTGCCACATCATGAAATCCAAAATTTGATCAAGGTAGTTGACAAATCTGAGGTTAAAGAAGCACTGTTCAGCATTGGGAATGAGAAATCACCAGGACCTGATGGATACACTGCTGCTTTCTTTAAACAGAAATGGGATATTGTTGGAAATAGCCTTTTTGATGCTGTATCTGAATTCTTTACTAGTGGAAGACTTCTCAAGCAAATTAATCATGCAACTGGGGTTCTAATTCCCAAGGTTAAGGAGAACCCCACTGCCAAAGATTATAGACCCATCGCATGTTCAAATGTGGTCTATAAAGTTATCAAAAAGATCCTGTCTAATAGGATGGCTCCCATCCTCCCTGATCTTATTAATCCTGCACAAGCAGCATTTATTAAGGGAAGAAGCATGGTGGATAATATTCTTTTGGCTCAACATTTGGTTAGAGGATATGCTAGAAAGAGATCCCCTCCTTGTTGCATGCTCAAAGTTGATATTTCTAAAGCCTTTGACACTATTTCATGGGCTTTCCCGGAGAATACAATGCAAGGTCTTGGCTTTCCTCCCAGATTTGTGGGATGGGTTATGGAGTGTGTTACAACTGCTTCCTTCTCCCTTTCTATCAATGGAGGTGTGCATGGTTTCATCAAATGTAAAAGGGGCATCAGGCAAGGTGACCCAATGGCACCCACTTTGTTCTTATTCTGTATGGAGTACTTCTCAAGGTTGATCAGGAGAATGCTGTATGGGAGTAGATTCACTCATCACCACAGGTGCTCTAAACTTGGTATTACTCATATAACTTTTGCAGATGATGTGATGATGTTTTGCAGGGGGAACAAGGATTTTGTTACTGTCCTGGCCAACACTATTCAGAATTTCTCTCAAGTATCTGGCCTGTATGTTAGCCCCCTCAAATCCAACATCTTTTTGGCTGGGGAAATCAAGGACAGCAAGTCTGATCTCTTGTCCTTGGTTTCTTTCCCTGAGGGGAAACTCCCTGTCAGATACTTGGGACTTCCTTTGACTTCTCAAAGAGATTCAGAGAGAGACTTTGCCCCCCTTATTGCCAAAGTGGATGAGAATATAAGGAAATGGAACACTAAGTCTCTATCTTCTGCTGGCAGTCTGGAATTGATCAGAAGTGTTATTCAAGGAATTGAGGGTTTCTGGTTTCAGGCTTTCCCCATTCACAAATCTGTTTTGGATAGAATAACTACCCTCTGCAGAGCTTTCTTGTGGGGATGTAAATTCTGCAAAGTGGCCTGGGATGACATCTGTAAACCCAAAGAAGAAGGGGGTTTGGGACTTAGAAACTCAACCATTTGGAACCGTGCACTCCTCGCTAAATGCTTCTGGAACATTGCAGCAAATAAGGAAACTTTATGGATACAATGGGTGCATTCTATCTACCTCCAGGGCAGTGATTTCTGGACCTAGAATCCTTGCAAAAAGGATTCATACTTCTTCAAGAAGATTGTTGAGATTAGGGACTCTCTTTTGCAAAAGTGTGGTGACAGATTCATGATTGAAGACAATCTTTGTGATATGGGGGATATTAAGGCCACCAAGGTCTATGATCTTTTGAGGTCCAAGGGTAACATTAGACCTTGGATGAAAGCAATTTAGAAGCCTTATATCCCTCCTAGATACTCCTTCACTGTTTGGCTTACCCTTCGAGGAAGACTTTCTACAAAAATGAATCTCCACTTCCTACAGCTGGCTAATAGGAATTGTGAATTCTGCCATACTGAGGAGGAAACTGCCCATCACCTTTTCTTCCTTTGTGAGAATACTGCTCTCATTTGGGTAGCCATCAGAAACTGGCTTAAAATTGCACCAGCCTTATCCACACTTGAGAGAGCCATTGAATGGGTAGGAAGACAGAGACATAGTCATTGTGCTAAGAGGAAAATGTGGAGACTGGCAATCATGTGCACTGTCTACACCATCTGGAGAAGCAGAAATGGATGCTATTTTGACCATGAAGGATTCAACACTGATACTATCATTTACAAAATCAAAGTGGGGGTATATAAGGTGATGCAGAGATTATACCCCCAGGAAGCCCTGATCCTTTGATTGTTGTGCTTGTGACCAGCCTCTGGTGGTACAACTTTGTTTGTGTTCCCTTAGAACCAAGGTAAAGTCTTTCCTGAGGATACCTTGGTTCTAAACCTTGTGATTTTCCCTTTACCTCCAATGATAACTCTGTGTTTGAGGAGTGGTTGTTCCTTGCCTGACTGTTTGGGGTTGTGGAAATGAAGTTAACCCTTTTGACCCTGTGTGGGTTGAAGAGTTAACTTCAGGTCCTGGGCTGACTTGGAAACAATTCAAATAGTAGATACCCAGT